CTGTCCTGGCAAGCCTGATCATCTCTAAATTAATTTGAGAGCTCAGCGTGTCAAGGACTTCTTGTGATGGCTGCAGAAGGGAGTTTTTGGAGGATTTCTCTAGAGCCCCTTCCCTCTTCTTGCTGAAGCCATTGGGTGGCTTTTCTGCAAGGCTGCTGGATCTGGTTTCCAAAGGCAGGTAAAGGATGCCTTGAGGATGTGAAGAACCATTGTCCTCAGCAGGGAACTAATTGCTGATGTGAGACAGCTCAGTGAGACCCTGGAGATGTGCTGGGTTTGAACCTGCCTTCCTTGCAGTGGGTGGTGGTTACACTAATGACAAAAAGTCCTTGCTCCAGCCTTAACCACCTTGTAGTCTGTCTCCATGAAAACCTGAACCACTCCTAACCGAGCTGGTGCAGCAAGACATCTCCAAGTTGATTTTGCTGTGGCTGTGCGTGGTTCTGATGGATATGGGAGGTCCCATACTGTAATGATGTGATAGTTTCACATTATCAGTGTCTCTCTCCTAACAAGTCCCAGGCTGAAAAGCAAAATGCAGCACTATTCTAACTACTGAAAAAGAAACCCAGCTCTGTTTGAGCTAAAATCCAGGAGAAATGAGAACTCCTGGCGTGAAGGGCAGGAGGAACATCTAGCCTACATCAGTGATGCCAGAGAGGAGTGGAAAAGAAAGGAGGACAAGTGTGATGGGGCTTGTTGGGAGGGATGGAGCAAGAGCTTCAGTGGCTCCAGCTCGGACAGTCAACCGTGAGTGACCTGCCTGCTGCAAGTAGATTTTGGAGTTTCCCTGCTTGTAACTAAGGTCTAGGAAGCACCCAGGTATGAGAGTAGCAGAGCAGATGTGCTCCTGTGAGCTGTTTTACTGTGGTTTATTTAGACTTCGGGGTTAGGGATGCTTGCTTTGGCTTGGGTTTGGTGATGGGAAATTCTGCATCCACCCATCTCCACACAGGAGGAACAGTTAGTTACTCCTGTTTCAGCTGATGGTGTCAAGGTGCTGGAAAGTCACGGTGAACCTGTTTGACTGACCTTACGCTCCCCTCCCGTGGGCCTTTGCAGACGTGGGTGGTACCACACCAAGTGTGTTGTTTGTCTGGGGAGCTGCTTTAGCTGAAAAATAACCCAGCAAAAAAAGAAAAGGGAGTTTAGAGTTTGATGCAATAGCAAAACTTTCTCCAACCAGCAGGATCTGACCCAATCGCTGCAGAAATGCTACTTGTTTCCTGGTAAAAGCATATTGTGTTCTTCTGTGTCTTTTGTTAGCTGCAGGGAGACCAGGGTGGTTTGTCTGTCATGTGAATGTTGAGAAAGCATGCTGTGTTCAGGGAAAAAAAAAAAACCAAAGGCAAATTATATCTGAGCTTGTTTGTACAGTGGCATGTCAAACCAGTGACCCTTCGCGAGAATATGCAAAAGTAGAGACCTGACTCCTGTTAGTAAAACAATTCTAGATAGAAACTACCCTGGACTATTCCTGTGCTCCTGGCAGTGGGAAGGCTGGGTGCTCTCCCCCCCCCCAGACAGCATTCATAGTGATGGTGCTGGTCCACAAACAGCAGGTAACCTGATGAATCCAAAGCTGTGACTTCTGGTGTTGCTTCTTATGCCCAAAGTGAAACCAGGACTACCAGGACGCTTGCGGTTGTCAGTGCCCTCTTGCCCTATGCAATGAGGATTAGTTTTAAGTAGGTGGAGAAGTATTTCTTGGCTGGTGTTAACAACAGGTGGGTGAGGCTCCAGGAGGAATTTGGCTGCAGATAGGTGGCAGGAGCTGAGGGGGGGGTAAGGACTGCATAACTCACAGCAAATCATCATCGTTCACACCATGATAAACTTATCCTGGATGAAACAGAGCTGAACTTGTTTTCAGTTCTGTGCCTCTTGTGTTGCAGCAGCCACACAGGAGATCCTGGTTTTTGGTTACTCCTTGGGCTGTTTGTCCTGTTTTGTGTCCACAGCTTTAATGAAAGGTGCAAGGACTTGATGGTGATGCAAACTGCAGCCTGTGTGGGTTAGGTGGGTACATCACCCAGGTTATCTAGAGAAGCTGTGGCTGCTCCTCCCTGGAAGTGTTCAAGGCCAGGTTGGATGAGGCTTTGAGCAACCTGGTCTAGTGGAAGGTGTCCCTGCTGCTGGCAGGGGGGTTGGAACTGGATGAGCTTTAAGGTCCCTTCCAACCCAAACCAGTCTGTGATTCTGTGAACATACATTTACTGACTGCTTTGGGGTATGGTACGAGCTTTTGAACCTCTTTAGAGTGGCTCAGTTGATCAATGGAAAAATAAAAATTGATATTTATCCATGCTCAGTAAAGGTGGAGGTACTCAGGTTTAGGTCTCAACACACACCACCACATTGCCAGCCTGATAGTTTATTGCTTTACAGGAGCACTTATCCCTGATTACCTTTCTGATGAGACGATGCTTCCAGGTGCTTAAATTATACCGGCTGCTTCGAAGGCATCCCAGTAACAGACTGGAGTGAGATGAAAATCTCCTGGGGTCAGTTCTGGAGTCTGAAGCAATGCCTTCAAGTTAAAACTAGCAGAGAAAAAATAAAATAAATAAATAAATAAAATGCAAACCACCAAACCCCAGCTGGATGCACCCAGCTCGGCAGCCGTGGGTCATGCTGAGTCACGCTGACAGCAGAGCGGCTGCCGGGAGTTTCTCTGGGGCATCATGAAAGAAAATCTCCTGGGGTCAGTTCTGGAGTCTGAAGCAATGCCTTCAAGTTAAAACTAGCAGAGAAAAAATAAAATAAATAAATAAATAAAATGCAAACCACCAAACCCCAGCTGGATGCACCCAGCCCGGCAGCCGTGGGTCATGCTGAGTCACGCTGACAGCAGAGCGGCTGCCGGGAGTTTCTCTGGGGCATCATGAAATCCAACCCCTCCTGATGAGCATCTGTGGGATGGGAAGGTGTAGGGACCTGTGGAGGGTTGCAAGACCCTTACACCAGCTCAGCGTGAGGGTTGAGAGGTTTAAAACCTGCTTTAAAAATTCCAAGATAATTCAGTGTTGTTGCTGCTGGTAAAGGAGGATTTTTCTGAGCCTTTGGGTTGATTTCCAGCACTGTTAATGGGTTACAGTGTATTTAGTGCTCTGAAACAGGAAGCTTTGCTTGAAGCCACCAAATTCCCTCTAGTAGTGTGATGCCTTGTCATGACCAGCGGCTGATAAGTGCTTAAATCTGAAATTCAACTGTTGAACTAAGTCACTTTGCAAATGTAATTCCTGTGCAATTGGTTTTTTAGAATATTTACTACTAATACAATAATTTGTTTGGTTTAGCCTCACGTGCTGCTTTACTGCTTTCATAACTTTTATTATACTGGGTTAAAGTCCTGAATTCAGCCCTGATCTCTTGCTTGGTCTCAGAGAACGTATGTGAACGTGCACTTCAGTTGCTGGTAACTAGAGTGGTTTGGGAAATCGAAGGTCCAACAAACCTGAAACATTTTTATTGACTTAATCTTACCTGAAAGCTTAGCTGTAGTATTGCCTCCTGGTTAATTACTGTGAAGTGAACTGATAAAGCTTGAGGGGACGTGTTCCAGCGAGGAAGCGTGGAGGTGGCATGAGCAATCCTTGCTTTTTCAAGCACTGGTGAATCTCTGCTGAGGATTGAGCTGTTCCTGTTGCTTTGCCTGTGAAAACAAACTTTATTTTGAAGTTGGGGTGTCCCAGCTGATGGGGCAGAGGACATCCTTCCTATCAAACCCAAATGCTTCTCCTTCAAAGAGCATTAATTTGATGGAGGCTGTTGCAGGTTACCAAACACCCATCTCCTGTGGCTTTGCCTTTTCCCAGGAGCTATCTGTGTTTGTGTTTGGAGGTGTGAGGCCACCACCAAAGGCTGTATCCCTCCAGACTGGTTTTGGTGTGATGGGGTGTATCCAGCTGTGTTGCAGTCTGACAGGACTTGTGGGCTGCTCCGCAGGAGAACAGAGCTCTCTACATCTTGATGCTCTAGATTTACCAGGTCTTTCTGGGATGGGTGTAGAGGTTTAAACCCTGCCAGTGTCTCTCCTGTTGTTGGTGAGAAGTGGATGGGGTCTGTGCCCTGCAAACACCCATTGCAGGTTGGCATCATCATTGCAAAGGCTTTGAACATTACTGGTGTGTGATGGAATTGCTCTGCAGAGGCCTGAAACAAGCTAAACGAAGTCATTTTTCCCCCACTGCATAATTAAATGATGAGTTTAATAGGGTGCTTTGGATGCCAGAAGCTTAGCTGCTTTCAAAAATCTGTGGAAGAAAAAGCCTGTTGAGGACTATGGAACAAAAATGCAGATGAAACCACCTGGCTTGGGCAGTTGGTGGCTACAGGACCACCACTTGGGAGGCAAGAAGGGGTGAAGGGTAGCTCTGTGGTCTCCAGGTTGAGAGGGACATAGTCACTGTGTGTTCCTTGGGTCACTGTGCAGAAGAATGGGGTGACCTTTCCTTGTCTCACCCTTTATGGGGGGATATCTATGCAGGAACCCCATTTTCTCAGCCTGCCCTTCTAGGAAACCTCTTTCCCAGTCGAGTGGACTTAACTTTCCACACCAAGTGTCACAAGCAGCTGAGCAACTGGAGGAGAAACAAGCTGGGGCAGAGAGCTGGGAGTGTTGTAAGCAAGAAGCAATTAAAGACCTAACTGTATTTCTTTGCTGAGTCTTCTGAACAAACGGCGTTACCTTAATTCCCTGTGCTTCCCAAGCATAAACAGGAGCAGAGGTTACACTTCCCTCCCAGCACTTGTCTGAGCAGCCTCATAACCTTTTTGGTGTTGCAATGGGATTGTGGAGTTCATCTCACTGGTCTGGCAGGCAAAGCGTGGATAAATAGTGCCATGGTCCTGGCGTGGGTGCAACCAGGGACTAAATTATTGTCCCTTCTAATGATTTTGAAAGTCTTGTAGCTCTTAAACTCTATGACTCGTGGTTGTTGCATTAAAGGTGGGTTTAACTGAGGCATCTCCCTTCGTGTGCTTTGTTGCAGACAAGGATGCAGAGCTTGCAGCCGGACCCCAAAGCCCAGTACAGGAGTGTGTACGAAGCTCTGAAGAAGATTGTCCTTACAGAAGGTTTCTGGAGGCCTTTACGTGGGATTAATGTCACCATGCTGGGGGCTGGCCCTGCCCACGCCATGTACTTTGCCTGCTATGAAAAAATTAAGAAGTCTCTAAGTGATACCATCCAGCACGGAGGAAACAGCCACTTGGCCAATGGTACTTCTGGGGGTTTTTTTGGTACAAAAAAAAAGGCTTTGAGTTAACAACCTGTCCCTTGCTTGCTTCACACGCTCAGCCTGGCATCCTTTGCTGTGCTCTGCTCATGGGAGATGTGCTGTAGGCATCCTGCATGCAGGCTGCTGCTGTAAATACCCATATGGGAGGATGCAAGGTGCAAATGGAACCCCAGGGCTGCAGATCTCAGCACCCGCTGTGGGAGTGCTGCAGAGGCAAAGGGAAGGCAGGTAGGCAAGTGTGGTACCTGTCCTCTACTTGAGGGCTTCGTGCTGGTCACCATGCTTCTCTGAAACCTCTGCCCTGTCGTAGGGCTGCTGACTGCTTGGTAGATCTTTCCAGAGGGTTGAGATGGCTGGGCTGGTTGGCAGCAGCAGAGTAGAGAAACCCTTTCTCGCCTCAAACCCCTGTTGTGCACCCTCCAAAGTCTTAGTCTAATCCAGATTTCTTTACTATTCTAATCTCAAATTATATAGAATCATAGAATTGTTTTGGCTGGAAAAGGCCTTTAAGATCGAGTCCAACTGTTAACCCAATGCTGCCAAGTCCACCACTAAACCATGACCCTCAGTACCACATCTACACAACTTTTAAATCCTTCCAGGCATGGTGACTCCACCACTGCCCTGGGCAGCCTGTTCTAATGCTTGAGAACCTTTTTGGTGAAGAAAGGGTATTTATATAAAAACAATACCAGCTAATGGCATTAGCAAAATAAATCTTAGAACTGTGATTTAGATGATTCAAATTGGACCAGAGGTGTTCAGATGCAGTTGCAGGCTGTTTTGGCTTTGTTGAAGGCATCATCTAAACCTCTTGAGGTTTGAAGTCCAGGTTGTTCCACACGTCTCCCTTGGAGCTGCAGTGTGATAAAGTGCACTGTGTCCTCTGGTGCTCACAGGCTTTGTTAAAGATTTTACTTCTACCACAAAGGCTTTTGCTTTTAGGTCCAGCAATGCAGCTGTGACAGCAGAAACCCTCTAATGGAGCAGCTGGGGGTGTTACAAAAGGGTTTGTGCAGAAGACACTCTTGATGTGACAGTAGGAATCTGCCATGGCAGTCACTTGACTTGACTCAACCAGCTCAGTTAAGGGTATATAATATTTTTCTGGCTTGCTGCTTTTTCACAGAATCACAGAATGTTGGGGATTGGAAGGGACCTCAAAAGGTCATCTAGTCCAATCCCCATGCCAGAGCAGGAACGTCAATGAGATCACACAGGAAGGCCTCCAGGCGGGTCTTGAATGTCTCCAGAGAAGGAGACATTCATTTTTTTGCTAGTAATATGCTTCCTGTCTTTGCCTTTCAAGTAGCTACAGGCTTTCAGTACCAGCAGGAAAACTGCAGCGCTGCCTTAATGAGAAATGACCAAAAGTCATTTGGGCAAGAGAGAATTTGAGATGGAAACCTACATCAAAGGAGAAGGTGTGGCTCCAGAGGCCCATCCTAGAGCCAACTGCAGGATCATTAATGGCTGGCTGGATGCTTGCAGAATCTGTGCAATTAGTGTTTAAAACTCGACTGAGTAAATGGGGATGAAAATGTTTAATTAGGGATGTGCTGAGCTAGTTTGAAGCATTGCTCGTTTCTCAGTCCGGCGCGGGCTGAGTGACGCCCAGGGTGTCTTGTGTAGACAAAAACCTTGTGAGTTGTTGTAGGGAATAGCAAAGGTGATGGCTGGGACCCTGTGAAGCAGATCCTGGTTTCTCTCAGGCTGCTCTGGATGGGTTGTTTTTCCCTCTGGGAATGAGCTGTGTTGCTGGGTGCTTCCTTGGGCTCCCCAGGCACCCGGGTGCTGTGTGGGCTGTCTCTACAGCTGGCAGTGCCCGGGCAAGCTCCTGACCTCCCCATTTTTTTTGTTTGGTTGGGTTTTTTTTTGAAAGATGCTTTTTTTGTGTCTTGCAGGTATAGCTGGGAGTGTGGCCACCCTACTCCACGACGCAGTGATGAATACTGCTGAAGGTAATGCCCTGTGCTGCACCCTGGTAGCCTAGGAAGGTACTGAGGACACCCTGTGCCACCTCAGCAGTTTAATCCCTTTGCTTTAGTGACTCTGCCCAGGTTTTAATGATCTCAGTGTAAAGGGATAAATCCTGCCTGGCTGTTTTCCCTTGCTTCCTAAGGGATTGCACAACATCTACATGGCATTATGATGACTTTCCAGGAAAACTGGTGTCACCTTTACTAATACGATGCTGTTACTACTCTGTTAATGCACCTTTATTGAAGTGGTCATTGTTCTTCTGAAGCTTTGGACTGCTCAAACAAAACTAAGCTCAGTCATGTTGTTAGATGAGTGCAGCAGCTGGTGGGACCATTGTGTAGCCTTCCTGGGTAGGTAGAGTCTGGCATGAAGAGGACTAACAGTAAAATGCAGCTGAAATGAAGACAATCAGCTGGACTGCCAGCTATTCAGTTAATGTATTGTACTTCTGAGTTGGCCCAAAGTCAAGTTTTTCTGAAGGAAAAAAATAAGTCTCTAGTGTTTTAAATCCTTTTATAATCATATCCTGATTAAATGAATTAAATTAATTGACCTTTTGCTTAAGTCCATGGAAATTGTTCCATTTCAGGACATGGGACTGTAGTTGGGGTCTGTTACACTTCCCAGGTGATGTACAGTTATTTCATCACCTTTCTGTCCTTGTCCTCTTGGTAGACTGGTATTTCCACACAACAGCTCTGCATCCTTGCAGATGGAGGTCCTTGCAGACCCTTCATTGGAGGGTCCTTATCAGTCTGTCTTAATGCCTTTCTAGCTAGAACTAAAGGTTCCTTAATTAAGTTTGAGGAGAGGAGTGCATTAGCCCATGGAAATGGAGAGCTCTTGAAGTGGGGCTGTGCTCTGACCTGCTTGTTGTGTTGAGTTTTTTGGGGACTCTGGACAGGTTGAGGGAAGCAGAGGGTGTCTGCAGCCTTTTGATAAAACCTCTGGATAAGGAGCTCGTTGCTACAGAAGTGCCTGGTTTATGTCATAGCAGTTTGGGCTTGGAAGGGGAGGTTGGGTCTGGATGGGTGGGACTTGGAGCTGGGTGTTGTGATAAGGAACCATGTGCCTTAGCTAATCATCTCCCTGTGTCTGTCCTGCCTGGTGCTGCCTGCCCTGCCTCTGCGGCTGTCGCCTGGACCAGTGGTGAAGCAGCGGATGCAGATGTTCAACTCCCCCTACAAGTCCGTCCTGGCGTGCATAAGGACAGTGCAGAAGACGGAGGGGTTTGGTGCCTTCTACCGCAGCTACACCACCCAACTCACCATGAATGTCCCCTTCCAGGCCATTCACTTCATCACCTATGAATTCATGCAGGAGCAGATTAATCCACGCCGAGAGTACAACCCTCGGTCCCACATTGTCTCCGGTGCCATCGCGGGGGCTGTGGCTGCTGCTGCCCCCACTCCTCTGGATGTCTGCAAGACTTTGCTCAACACCCAAGAGAACATGGCCTTGAGCTCTGTGAACATCAGCGGACATCTCTCGGGCATGGTGAACGCCTTCAAGACTGTCTATCAGCTGGGGGGTGTTTCGGGGTATTTCAGAGGGGTGCAGGCACGTGTCATCTACCAGATGCCTTCGACAGCCATCGCCTGGTCGGTGTATGAATTCTTCAAGTACTTTCTTACAAAGCACAAGCTGGAAAAAAGAACATCCTTGTGAAGGACTTGCTGAAAGTGAATGGAAACCTCCGTGTCTCCTCTGTGCGTGTCTGCGTGTGCCTGCAAGCCAGCAAGCTCTGGGTCCCTGCTAAGGAACGTGCCAAGTTTCTGGTGGATTCACAG